GGTGTTTATTTTTATTTATTTAATACAGGTACTTATATAGTGGGGTAGGCAACCTTTTGAGCATGATGTGCCGAAAAATGTTTTGAAGAAATTGAGAGTGCCAGTTATATAAAAAATGTCAACTTTACACACACAATCACGAAAAGGAATTTTTATATAATAAATGCTGTAAACTATTTAAATAATAGTAAGAAAACATTGAGCTATCAAGGATGGTAAATGGTAACTTACCCCTTTTCCAGAACATATGTACAGAACATGTGCTGTGAGACAAGTATGGTACGGTTGACATGAATACACAGCTGAAAATGAAGTGCGAGGTGATAGTGGTCACTTTAATAAAGTTCTCTCAGATCAAACCCAAATTCTGCACCTTCAGACCCTAAATCAGCTCTCATTTCTACACCTTTACCCCTCAGATCACCCCAATTCCTACACTTTCACACCCCAGATCAGTCCCGATTCCTGCATCTTCATACAGTACCTCAGATTAGCCTAATTCGTGCACCTTCACTCCTCCAATCACCCCAAATCCTGCATTTTTACACCCCAGATCAGGCCCAATTCATGTTTCCTCAGGCCTCAGATCAGTTTCTGGACTTTCATGCACCAGATCAACCCCAATTCCTGCACCTTCAGACCTCAGATCAGTCCCAGTTCCTGCACCTCCAAACCTCAGATCAGCCCTAATTCCTGCATCTTCACACCTCAGATAAGCCCCAATCCCTGCACCTCCATACCTCATTTCACCCCAATTCCTGAAATTTTACAACCCAAATCAGCCCCAATTCCTGCAGTTTCCCACCTCAGATCACCCAAATACCTGTACCTTTACACCTCTGCTCATCTCCAATTCCTGTACCCTTACAGCTCATATCACCCCAATTACTGCATCGTCATACTTCAGCTCACCCCAGATCCTTCACTTTCACACCTCAGCCCACCCCAGATCAGCCTCAATTTCTGCTCCTTTGAGCTTCAGATCTGCCCAAATTCTTGCACCTTCTGGCATAAATGGACAAAGCCGTTTCCAGATAGATGCTTCAGAAATTAACACCAGCCAATGCTCCAGTCAAGACAGCACCGCATGTACCATGCAGTAGAATTGGAGAATTGAGTCCCATTTCCTGTAGTTCCTAATTCTTTTTTCTAAGGTTACATAGTTACATAGTTAGTCTGGCTGAAAAAAAGACAAAAGTCCATCCAGTTCAACCATAAAAAAAAAAAAAAAGTTATAATCCTACACCCACAGTTGATCCAGAGAAAGGCAAAAAACCCAGCAAAGCATGATCCAATTTGCTTCTGCAGGGGAAAAAATTCCTTCCTGATCCCCCGAGATGCAATCGGATATTCCCTGGATCAATTTTACCGCTAAATAGTAACCAGTTATATTCTGCGTATCCAAGAAATAATCCAGGCCTTTTTTAAAGCAATCCACTGAGCTGGCCAGAACCAACTCTTGAGGGAGTCTATTCCACTTTTTCACAGCACTTACTGTGAAGAAACCTTTCCCGTTTTTGGAGTTTAAATTTCTTTTCCTCCAGACGTAAAGAGTGCCCCCTTGTCCTCTGTGATGACCTCAGGGTGAATAACTCTACACCGAGTTCACTATATGAACCACTGATGTATTTATACATGTTGATCATATCCCTCCTTAATCTCCTCTTCTCAAGATAGAATAAATTCAGTTCCTCTTATCTTTCCTTTTAGCTGAGCTTCTCCATGCCTCAGTTTGGTTGCCCTTCTCTGTACTTTCTCCAGTTCTCCACTGTTCTTTTTGTGAATTGGTGCCAAAAACTGAACTGCATATTCCAGATGAGGTGTTCCTAATGATTTGTCCCGGGGGTAATATGATATCTCTCTCTGTGGAGTCTATACCTCTTTTAATACAAGAGAGGATTTTGCTCACTTTGGAAACCGCAGCTTGGCATTGCATGCCATTATTAAGCTTGTGACCTACCAGAACTCCCAGATCCTTCTCCACCATTGATTCCCCCAGTTGTACCCCCCTAGTATGTATGATGCATGCATATTCTTAGCCCCCAAGTGCATAACCTTACATTTATCAACATTAAACCTCATTTGCCACATAGTTGCCCAATTACACAGTGCATTGAGGTCGGCTTGTAAGTTGGAGACATCCTGTAAGGACGTTATTCCACTGCACAGCTTGGGTCATCTGCAAAGACTGAAATGGGATTTATAATACCAAACCCTATATCGTTTTATAAATATATTAAAAAGTAAGGGTCCCAACACTGAACCTTGAGGTACACCACTGATGACCCTAAACCAATCAGAGTATGAATCATTAACCACTACTCTCTGAATACGATCTTTGAGCCAGTTTTCTATCCATTTACATACAGATTTTTCCAAGCCTGTAGACTTTACCTTACATATTAGGCGTGTGTGGGGAACTGTGCCAAACGGTTTTGAAAAATCCAAGTATACCACGTCCACCGCCACCCCTCTGTCCAAGGTTTTGCTCACCTCCTCATAAAAAGAAATCAGATTGGTTTGACAACTTCTGTCTTTCATGAATCTATGTTGTCTGTTGCTTAAAAATATTTTTTTCCAGCAAAAACTCATCTATGTGATTTTTTTATTAAACTATCCAATATCTTCCCAACTATAGAAGTTAAACTAACAGGTCTGTAATTACTTGGTAAAGATTTTGACCCCTTTTTAAATATTGGCACCACATTGGCCTTACGCCAATCCAGTGGTATTATGCCAGTCATTAGGGAGTCCCTAAAAATTAGAAACAATGGCTTTGAAATGACAGAGCTCAATTCTTTAAGGACCCGTGGGTGTATGCCATCCAGTCCAGGTGCTTTATTCACCTTTATTCTCTGTCTAAATATTTCTGGATCATATCAATTGTGAGCCAATGTGGGTCATCTGGAGCTGTGCCAATACCATGCCCATTATGGACAAGAGCTCCCCCATGCTCCTTTGTATACACAGAGCTGAAGAAGGTATTTAATAAATTTGCCTTCTCCTTGTCCCCAGTCACACACTCTAGATTATTTTGTAAAGGGCATACATGCTCGGACCGAACCTTTTTACTAGTAATATATTTGAAGAATTTTTGGGAGTTTGTCCTGCTACCTTTTGCAATCTGTTGTTCATTTCTATATGTAATAAAAGCTGTTTTCTTATATTTTATAGCTTTTAACTTTGGCCGTAAGCCACATGGGTTTGATTTTTAGTCTTTTAAACTTGTTGCCCATGGGAATATATTTTGCAGAATGTTCACATACAGTCTTTTTGAGGAACTCCCATTTCTGTGTTGTGTTCATTGATGCCAATATTCCCCTCCCAGTCTAAGTCTTGGAGAGCAGCTCTCAGCCTTGTTTGTAGTTACCAATATCTAATCTGAAATGTTTTAGTTCCCAATAGACGTTCTAAAGTAGTAGTTACCAAACCTTGTTTTAAAGTAGTAGTTCCTTCTATTTTAGTCGCCATGGTGAATAGCAATGGCAGAAATCTGCTAATTCCTGCTGCTGTTTTTGACACTTGTGAGCTGCTAGCTGCCGCCACCAAGTCTTTACAGTGCACTTTTATGACAAGTTGCCGGAGGCCGTAGCTATTAGGGGCTGTTCACACAACTGGCGATTACTTGTGGTGATTGTTGCTGAATGCACACAAAGTGTATGTTCAGCAGCCATCAGCGCATGTAATCACTGATTGTGTGAACAGCCACGAATAGCTGGAGCACCCAGTAACCTGTCATTGTAGTGTACTGTATGGGCTTGGCAGCTGCAGCTAACTGCTCTCTGGTGTCAAAAATAGCAGCAGGTATCAGCAGATTCCTGCCACTGCCATTTGTACTGTGGCTAAATGCCCGTGTGAATGAAGCCTAAATTAATAATTCCCAATAGCTGTTATGTCAGACAAGCCTTTAAAACCCTTCTCCCTCCACATTAAATCCTTCTTTGCATTGAGTTACCCATAAGAGATTGCTCTGGAAGGGATTAATAGCCATTTGAATATAAACCTCTCTGGTTATATCCCCTCCAAGCTGAGCCAGATGCATAGATGCTGAGGGAGAGAAAAGTTCAGAGGGAGGACAGGTACAGCAATGGTAAAAGCCTGGCAATGAGCCTGGCTCAGGCTAAAGGAGTGCTGTAACACAGAGGAGGAAAAATACTGATATAATTACTCTTCCAAAGTGAGAACAAGAAGTGTGAGGAATCCGTCTAAACACAGCTTCACTGTGAAGAGAGTAACGCAGGAACCAACACCAGTGGAAAATGAAGTAGGCAGGCACAAGCCACGCTGCTTGTTCAGTATGCAGCTGCTGGCCAGCTTTATTGTTTCGGAGGTGGGTCTCCCAGGACTGGCCCTGGGTGCTATCCTTGATGTTGTCAAGTGCCACCTCCAGCACTGGTGCCGGAGGTTGCCTACCCGTTATATAGCAATATCAATTTACACAGTGCTTTACATATACAGTACATATTATACATTCACATCAGTCCCTAAGTCTCAAGGAGCTTACAATCTAAGGTCCCTAATTCACATTCATACATACATACTAGGACCAATTTAGACAGGATTAATTAACCTACCAGAATGTCTTTGATGTGTGTGGGGAAACCGGAGTACCTGGAGGAAACTTATGCAGGCACAGGCAAAACATGCAAACTCTGTGCAGGTGGTGCCATAGTTTGGATTTGAACCAACAACCCTAGTGCTGCCAGGCAGAAGTGCTAACCACTTAGCCATCATACTGCCTGTGTCTGTTGACTCAGCCTCCTAATTTTTCAAGATTTCAATCCATTGAGCTTCTGTGAGATGTGCTAGACAAACAAGTCTGATCCATGGAGGCCCCACCTTGCAATTTACAGGACTTAAAGAATTTGCTATTGACGGCTTGATGTCAGATTCCACAGATTACTTTCAGAGGTCTAGTGGCATCCATGCCATTAGGGGTCAGGGATACTTTGGCAGCAAAAGGGCACCTACTCAATATTAGGTGGGTTATCATAATGTTATGGCTGATTAGTTTAACCACCTCCCGCCTGCCATATAGTCCAATGATGGGCGCAAGGTGGTTCTCTTGTTCTGGGAGGACGTCATATGACGTCCCTCCCATTCTCACTGCGCATGCGAGGCTCATGGAGAGCGGAGCGCGGCTATCGGCGGGGCGCTGTGTCCCTTGGACACAGCGGATCACCAATCTATGGAAAGAGCCGAAGATGTCTGCTCGGTCATGTGATCAGCTGTGTCCAATCACAACTGATCACATGTAAACAGGGAAATGTCGGTTATCGGCATTTCTCTCCTCATGAGCTGTCACGCTGACAGCTCGAGAGGAGAGGAGAGCCGATAATCGCCATTCCGTGGTGGGGACACATGTACACTGATCATCAGGGCACTGATGATCAGTGTGGCCCCAGAAGTGCAACCTGTCAGTGTCCATCAGTGCCAGCTGCCAGTGCTGAACAGTGCCACATCAATGCCACATATCAGTGCCCATCTGAGCTGCCTTTCAGTGTCAGCCATCAGTGCAACCTATCAATGCCAATCAGTGCCACCTATCAGTGCCAGTCAGTGCCTTCTATCAGTGCCAGTCAGTGCCGCCTATCAGTGTGCATCAGTGCCGCCTATCAGTGCCCGTCAGTGCTTCCTATCAGTGCTAGTCAGTGCCACCTAACAGTGACAGTCAGTGCCGCCTATCAGTGCCATCTATCAGTGCCGCCTATCAGTGTCATATATCAGTACTGCCTTTCAGTGCCCATCAGTGATGCCTGTCAATACCCATCAGTGCCACCTACCAGTGCCTCCTCATCAGTGCCCATCAGTGCCACCTATCAGTGTCCATCAGTGCAGCCTATCAGTGACCATCTCTGCAGCCTCATTAGCGCACATCAGTGAAGGTGAAAAATCACTTATTTACAAAATTTTACAACAAAAACTAAAATAAAACATTTGTTTTTTCAAAATTTTCAGCGGTTTTTGGTTTGTTTAAGAAAAAATAAAAAACCCAGAGGTGATTAAATACCACAAAAATAAAGCTCTATCTGTCACAAAAAAAAAATGATAAAAATTTCATATGGGTATAGTGTTGCACGACCCGCGCAATTGTCATTCAAAGTGTGACAGCGCTGGAAATTGGCCTGGGCAGGAAGGGGGTATAAGTGCCCTATAGGCTAGTGGTTAAATAAAAGGGAGGTATTGTGCCATGCAGTAATTACAAACAACAATTTTTTAAAACATTAATGTGTCTTTATTCGATAGTGTTTCCAGTTTTCCAAGGTATAGTATCCAGCATGGTATTATTAATATAAAGGAATATAGGTACTACATACAGTATGCAGATGTTATGTCCATCCAACATGTTTCTTGGAACAGAGTCCACCTTCTCTTTTACCTTTAAATATTTAATTACATTTTGAAAACATATACCCTATCACCCTAATACAGTACAATTAACCTGAACAGACTGAGGGGATCATGGGAATCTGAGGTCTGATTCTGGGTCATTTGGAATGGTAGAAGTTGGTGACAAGAGCATAGTGGGTATCTATAGCAGAGCAGGAATAAGTGTTTATGGTCTAGAGCAGTATTTCTCAGTGCTGATGAAGAGGTATGGGGTAGGGGCAAACAAGAATGCCATGCAGGAGTCCAACATCCTTCTTATCAACCAATGATGTCATTGGTTGTTAAGACACCAGTGACTGGAAGATTGCAATGATCATGATCCACCTGCTGGGTTGCGTATGATTTTTGGGCAATTTTTAGGCATTTTGCTGAGGAACCCCTGAAGAAATCTGAAGACATTTTGGTTGAAAAAGGCTGGTCTAGAGTCCAGGAATGAGATTGGCACGGAGGTCAATGAGTAGTGTGGACATGTTGGATTTTGGACTTTTGGTCCAAGATCTGTGCAAATAGGTAGGAAGTCTGTGAAGTTTAGGATACATGTAGGGATACTCTGTATTGCGAAAAGGTGGTTTAAAGATCTCAATGAAATGCAGGCTCTGCAAGTGCTTGGTGTTAACCAGAGTGTTTGGTGATGTGGATGAGTTAGGTTGCAGGATATCTCCCTGGCATTTCCCATAGCCAATTTCCTGATGGTGAAAACAGTGGACCATGCCTATGTAATGTGTGTTGAAACAGTCAGTTCTGTTGTCTCAGTAGTTACAAGCTACGTCTTTGTTATTTTTTTATGGCTAAATGAGACTGCCATTATATGTGAGACACACAGTTTTTAATGTAAGCAGTAATTTATTTATTTCAAGCATTATTATGGTAGTAGCATACAGTATTATGGAATATTTTACAGAATGCAAGAGCCATTCATCCAGTACCTGTCCCCTGAAGCAGCTTATATTCTGAAGTCTATACCATGCTCACACACACTTTGAAAAGAATAAATTAAAGAGAACCTGTACTGAGGAAGCATGGAGACTGCCATTGCTGGCCTCTCCTGATAAAGCTGGAGCTTAATGACAATTTAATGACAGATCTTAATGACAGTTTTTGGAGCTTAATGACAGTTTAATGACAGAGTCACTTCAAGGTCTCATGTACACTGCTGCTCCAAACCGTGAGTTTAAGAGCTTTTGGTGTTTCTTTGCCAAAGCCCCTAAACTCAACTCAATAAAAGCCTATGTGTCCATCTCCTGAATGCAGACAAACCATGTTCAGGAGATGAACATTTTGACAAAAAAGGCTATACATGGCAAAACCACATGGTAATGCTCCTAAGCAATAACTGCGTTTACAGCTTGGGCGTTTATTCATTTCAATGACAAGTACTCTGGCCAATGAAATGACTAAACGTTTGAGTGCTAAAGGTGGCACTGCATTTATACACATTTGCCACGTTTAGTGTTTTTCTGCTGCCAGTAGAATAAAACATTCCAGTGTAGCCTAAAAGATAAGTGCATTTTAAAACACTTTAAAAGGATGGCTTCAGTTAGGTCAGTACATTCAACCCCTTGGCTGTGGCTCCTCTCTACCCTTTTAGGCTGTGAAAGGCGGAATCAGGCTTCCTGATCATGTGATCATTGTGACTGGCTATCACAGTGGCCACATGATTGGGAGCCATTCCCTCCGGTTCATTATCGTAAGCAGTGACTGGGAGCTGTACTGGGAGTGTGCAGTGAGTGTGCTCTCAGCACAGAACAGGCAGCTGGCACTAAGGCCCACCTGCCAATTCACCTTCTATTTGTTCTGTTTACCATTATTGAAAGTGAAAGTTAAAGAAAATCCCAAATTAAGTAATAGATGGGAAATCTTCCAATGGGAACACTAGTTCTTGTGACTTGGGGGTCCCATAGAAACTCCCTTAATTTGCAGTGATTTCCTCTCACTTCCTGTTTGGCTATATGACAGGAAGTGAAAGGAATTCTCCCAATGGGTTGTAGATGGTAAAAAATAAACTGAAAGAGGTTATAACCCTCCCTTACTCTACCCAAGGTGAAAAAAAAATGTTCATATACTTTAGCACTCTATTAGTTTAGCTAGGGGGAGCTAGATCATAATGGTTAGACAGGAGCTGAATAGCAGCTCAGGTGTAATAGCCAGGGGGGGGGGGGGTTCAAATTGTGGTCAGGGCTGAGAATTTACCCTGTTCTCTGAGGTTTTTGGAGGAAGGCCTTTGAGGTAGTGGGTGTATCTGAGGAGTGGCTGGCTGCACTCTTGAGGTACCTCAGCCAATCCCAAACAGAAGGTTTGCCAAAGGGCTGGGACTCCCTTAAAAGTGTTGGAGCTGGAGATGTGAGACTGGAGGAAGAAGGCTGCCAGAAGGCCTAGTGGGATGGGGTCTGCCTGTGAGCCCAGAGCTGGACCGGAGGAAAACGTGGAACTCGCTGGCCCCCTGAGCGAGGACCACCAGTATGACAGTGAAAGAGTGGCCCAGCTGGTAGCTGGTAGGATAATATGCTTCAAGCTGGATCCACCTGTCAATTTGTGATGTCAGCACACTGTTGAGGGAGAGCTGTACTAACCGTCGGGATTATTGAAACTGGTTGTCAGGAAAACCAAGTCAATGCCCCTTCACAGAACTGAGAATCGGGGCTGTGCATGCATCCACATGTGCAAGTGTGCATGCACGTGCTCATGAGCAATAGCGCACTCATGAGTGTGAGAGTGCATGTTTGAATGAACTTTTGTGCCTAGTGGCCTATTAAAGGCAGCACAGTGGCTGAGTGGTAGTCAGCTCCTTCTGCCTGTGGCCTTACCCTGTGTTTCCTTCTGTGTTGTGACTCAGTTTGTTTGACTCGGCTTGCTATGGAAACATTCTGCTGACTAGACATTCCTTATTTAATAATTTTGTTTAGATTTGATCTTCCTGCGGTGTGGATATAGTCTAGCTATAATAGCAGCAAATTGATTACTGATTTTCATTATCTATAAACAAAAGCTGGCCATAGAAAGTTTGGTCCCTGCCGAGATTCAAACCATGTATGGGCAGGCTGAGTGTACCCAGGTTGATTGATTGATCAACTTGGGTACAACCAGCCTGTCGGATTTTACATGCGATGATTGCTAGCAGCTATTATAGCTTCTACCAGTAACCACTGTGTTTTCTCAGCGGGGAGAACACAGTGGCTCTGCAGGAGGTATTCCCTCATCAAAATTGACTGTGTTAATAGGTAGTGATGGGCCGAACACCCTCCTGTTTTGTTCAAACATTCGAACCTAACAAAAGTTAGACGGCGAACTTCGAACTTAATGCAAGTCTGTAGGACTTGAACTTGTAAATTCAAAAGTGCCCATTTTGAAGGCTTAGATGCAAGTTATTGGCCATAAAAGGGTATGGGGATATTTAAAATTCCTTTAAATATCCTGCCTGGGAGGGTCCCCTTATGCTACCTGCGAAGTTGCACATCTGTTCAATGTATAAAACCTGCTGCAGCAGGACTGACATTTTTTTTTTAAATGACATTTTTATTAAAAAAAAAAAAAAAAAAAAACACAGCGTGGGTTCTCCCCCTGATCCCTACCAGACCTAAAGGTTAGGAGGGACCCCTCAGTATAATTTTTTTTTAAAAAGTGCGTGGGGTTCCCACTAAAAACCATACCTGGCTCTTTAGGCTTAGTAGGACTTTTAAGAGGAACCCCACCCCCAAAAAATGGGGGAGAAAAGCATGGGGTCCCCCCTAAATTCCTACCAGACCCTTGATCCGAGCACAGGCCTGGCAGGCCAGGAAAGGGGGGGATGAGTGAGTGCCCACCCTCCTGAACCATAGCAGGACACGTGCCCTCAACAGGGCCTATGCTTTGGGGAAGGGGGACTCCTGGGCTGTCGTTGTGGTTTTCTACGGGGGTGACTTATCAGAATCTCGAACCCTCCTTTAACAAGAGGGCCCCCAGATCCCACCCCCCCACACTTTTGAATGAGTATGAGGTACATAGTACCCCTGCCCATTCACCAAAAAAGTGTAAAATGTGAATAAAAACATAACAACAGTTTCTGACAAGTACTTTATGTAAAAAAAAAAAAAAAGCCATCATCACTTGTCAGATGTCAACAATTCGTCAGAGCTAGCTCAACGCTACGCTAGCACCACCCAGTTGTGCTGTGATTGGCCAAAGCA